CTCCAAAACTTGCTCAGGCCATGCACTGCTGTGTGTGCAGGGCATCCTGGAAGGAGTTGGAGCCAGCAGTCATCGCGTTATCTCCCCTCCTGTGGGTCTAATTCTGGCACACACATAGAAACAAATTAGTTGATGGTCAGACACCTCCATTAGTAGACATCTTGCACTTTCTCCAGGCTTGAATGCTGGTAGTGTTAACGTTACGTAGCACAACAGCTGAGTTGTGTACAACTGCCAGCAACCCGTGCAACAGTTCTGATGAAAATTAAAACAAATGCCAATCGTCTGACATGAAGGATCAAAATGCAAACTGGATGTTCTGTTGCAGTTTGGCATAAAATGAGCTTGACCAACTCCTAAGCTGCAATATCACTGCAGAAATCTCCAGTTGGCTGGATGAGGAGGTATCTGTCGGCCCACCAGGGCTGTGAACCTGGGGTCTCTCTCAGAGTCCTTGGCCGTGGAGGGACGTGATGGTCCAAGGGAGCAGCCGTTCTCAAGTGTCACATGACTACTTGCCTGGTTTTCCAATATCCCTGCCATTGGTCTGTGGGAGATCCTCTGACCTGGAGGCAGGTTGGCTCTCCTGAGTGTCTTGGTCTGGATATGCTTTTTTGAAGAAAAGGAGGAAGGATGAAATACTGGACAGGGAAGAACAGTAAGGGATATATGCTGTGCCATGGGCGGGGAAGACTGGCAGGCCAGAGACAGGTACCTCCCAGCTGCACTGTGCTCATACCCCAGGAGGAGAATCACCTCTTTAATCAACAGATTCCTGTGCTCAGCAAATGCCAAGGAGAAATTAAATACACACATTTAACAGCTTACATGCTGGGGAGAAAAAGAAAGAGGTGAATTGTACATTTATCTTAAAGGATAAACTCTTTTCTGGAAAGCAAGCTTGAGTTAGGTTTTAGACATACTGATGTTAGGTTTTGGCCATACTGATGGGCTCAAGAAAGGAGAATGGGCAGAAGTTCTCTGACCTGCGTGACACAGGAGGTCAGACTGGATGATCTGACAGTTCCTTCTGGCCCTAGGCTCTATCAGTCTGTGAAGCAGTCACCTTTTCATTTCAGTAGCGTTTTAGTCAGTTAGTTAACTTAGCTCATTTAACAATGTTTTCTTGGTATGTATGTGACTCACTGATACTGTGTACTTGAGAAAGCATCCATTATTTGCAAAACCTGGCTTGCTTTTTCATTTTGGCAAAATGTGAAGCTGAAAACAGATGATTGATGGCTTTTTCTGTTTATTTTCTAAAAGATGTCAAGCAGCATATTTACTGATTCAACTCCTGCTGCAACTTGTTAGTTTGAGCAGTGTAAACACATCTTAACAACCCTTAGTAATTGTGGGGAGAAAGACATCATGAATGTAATGAAAACTGACAGCACTGATTTCCATTCCTGTAATTTTTTTACACTTATAAAGACAAGCACAGTATTTTGCTCAGATGTTTGGAGGTTTTAAAACTTCCAGATAATGGTTTATTGGTACTCATATTTCAAATATACTACCTGTTTGGCAAAAAAAAGTTAATATTTAGTTCTTTTTCTCTCAAATTACTTCATGGCCCCTTGTTTATACACCCGTGTAAATGGTGGTTATCCATAACATATATTTGCTAGATTTTGGAAAGAGAAAGGTCATTAGATACAGAGAAAAAAGACTAGCTGATGTGGTAACTTACAGATGGAAATGGAAGCTTTAGCTGAAGCCTAAGCGAAATGTAGGGAAGCATATGCTATCCAAATGAAATTGCATGTATTGATTTATTCTGTGAATAAGTAAAAGACAACAAAATTAGAGAGATTTGTCCAAGGATGCAGAGTGAGTGCAATTATCCGCCACCTTTCTTATCAATAAATATTTTTAAGTATTATCGAAAGTTGTATGAAGCATCAAAAGTAATTTGCATATTTTTAGCAAGTAGTAAATAGTTTCGGAGTAAACTAGTAAATAGTAAATAGCATGGGGAATTTCATGGAAACTTGAAACTAGAATTCATTGAGCCTAATCTGTCCCACATTTTTAGTCATTCCTGCCATGAAACATCATTCAGAAACTTGCCGTACTCACCTCAAAGGGAAATTTACAGTTTTCATCTTCTTTTTCCCCCTAAACACACTAATCTTATTGAAAAAAGTATCCCTGAACATTAGTCCCATAATGACTGAAATCCTTGCAATTTCTGGCTTAAATCATTTGTCGTGGCTGATTCATTTTTATGCCAGCATCATCCCTGATCATAAGTAGGTCTTCTCCTTCCCAAACGTTCCCACTGTGGCAGCACTTCTGATCCCCTCTTTCATCCTTCATTTTATTAAGCTTATTATGCCTTTCAAACAAACAAACAAACAAAACCAGACTCTCCATTCAATGTCATTTCTGATGGAAATTCAGAATTCTTCTCCTTTCAATGCCATTTCTGATCAAAATCCATCACTTCAACAGAGATGACCAGAACTGCATTTCCTCAGTGCCTTGCTCAATGGATTTAATACTCCCCGAGACCGTGTTTCTCTTTGTCATGATCTCATCACAGTGGTGGTTCAGGATAATCTTGCAGTTAGCTAGTAAATCTATGGTCTTTCTCCTGCTCTCCCTACTGATAATGATGTCTGTTCAATAGCCATTTTTAGGCTATCTTGAGCTTATTCCAGATGTGGAATAAGTGAACTTACTCCAATGCGAAAATGCAACATCAGATTCAATATAATTATTAGAATTACTTTCTCATTAATTCTAGGATATGGTTTTTTAATAGTTTACAGCTTATTTAGTTTCATTAGGAACAAATGCAGTTATGCATGCAATTATTTTATTTACTTGGTTAGTGGTAAGGTCTATGAAGATCAGGCTGAATTTGTAATAAAATGAGTTGTTTATGCTGAAATCAGATGTGCCAGTCATACTTTGTATTAATATCACTGGTTTATTCCTAAGACTCATTGACATCAGTGATACTGATGGTGATGTATCAGCTGTATGAATAGTACTTGCTGTGTCCCTTGCTACTTCAGGGAGGGGAGGACACTGACCACTAGAGGAAACAGCAGTTTCAGTCCAGGATAAGCATAGAAACCACTGTTTAAGTCTGAATCCCATAGTAATGTTTATACTATAACCAAAATAATAGGGGCTGGATCAATCCTTTCTAATCTCACTTGACATAATACATTAATATGGTTGTGGTTACATTCATATAATTGTTCTACAGTATCAAATTTGCAAATTCAGTACAGTATTAATAAACATGATCTTGACATTGTGAATGTAGTTTTGTGTCCTGGTGTACTTGGTCCATGTTCATACAATAACTCTTTCTTGAGTTAGATTGTGGTTTTGGAAATCATGTTATTTGAACATGTCTGCTCATGTGGTCTATTTTAATGAGCTTTGCAAATTTGTTTATAGTTGCTTCAGTAACTAATTTGCCTGCTTTGTTTTTTGCATGAAGATAATGTGTTTTTGTAGTAACCTTTAAGAAGATGTTTGTCAGATGTTCTAATCCAATGTTTGTTCAAAAATTGCATTAAAGCTATATATTTCATCAAGGTACTATGCATCAGTCTGTTAGTGCTGAAGACAAGTGCTGGACAGGGTCACCTGCCTTTAAGATGTCTGAAAAGTTGTTTTGACTTGCCAGAAATGTTAAGTGTTAAAAATACTTAGTGCATGCAGTTTGATATTCTTACTGACACCAGGGAGATTATGTAAGCTTTTTAATTAATCTGCTAATGGCCTATGTAATGATGAATGCATAAAGTGGGAAAGAAATGTCAGCAAAATTTTCTGCATATGAAGATGTGTATTCATGTGATTTGCTATTCATGTGATCCATGAGTATGCACAGAAAATGAGAAAATAGGATTCCTGAGAGCCTCACTCACCTTGTGTTGTCAGCTTCGTAGGTCCTCTGCAAACCGGTTAATGTGATCATACTTTATATGTGATTATATTGTACAACATAATTTCCATCCCATTGTTTATGCTCAGGGATAAGAGCTTTGTTAGGTAAACAAGCTCAGATAGCTAATACTGAAGTTATTCCAAATGATACAAATTAAGTAGTTGGACAAATTACTTTCACTGGTTAAACTATGATTGTAAAAAAATTCAATTCGTCCCTTCCCTTATCTCACATGATTCCTCCTGCAATCTAGTCCTACGAATTTTTTTTTATTGAAAAATAAACTGAGTTTAATTGCCCTGTAAGAGTTTTAGTTACATTTGTTTTACCTTTGTTGTTTGCTTTCTTTTGGAAGTCTCCTCTGTAGAATGGGTGATCTTCATGTCATTTGTAACTTTTACATTTGTCTTTGTTTTCTTTTATGTGGAATTGTAGTAGGTTTGTGTCAATTCTGTTATAACTTCTTTATTTTATAGTGCTACTTTTCAGTACCGAAAAGTACTGAAAAGAATGCAGATACACTCTTGTTGCTGAATAGCAGGTAGAAAGTTAGTTATTTGAATAATTATTGTACTTTTCTTATTTTTAAATATGCCTAACATGTAGTGTCCTATTTAGATTAAACATTTGGAATTTTTGACTGCTGCAAAATGCATGAATCTTGCAGATGATAGTAATGAGTCATCTAGCGAGAACGGCATTGTACTGACGGTACAATAACAAAAAAGGTCTCTAGTGTCTGCTGTCTTTGTACATCTGACCTTCAAGAGAATTAGAACTTGCTTGTTGCAGAAGTTGAGCATCTAATATATTGATGCACCTGTTAGTTCTCGCATATTAAATTGGATAATGTTTATAATGATCGGTGATTCTTTTGTGAATTAAATATTTTCTCTTCCTAGTGATCTGGACATTCAGCTGCATTTACTTGTATTAAAGGATTCTCCTTAACATGTGAAATTGCTTACACTTCAAGAAATTGTAACTTGGCACCAATCCCATTCCTTTCTGACATTGTTTTCTCTTACTATTGAATCTTATTTTTAACTAAAGCAATTTTTATTTGCATTTTATATTCATATAGAGACCATGAACCAAGCAACACCAGCTAGAAAACTGGAAGAGGTTCTTCACCTTGCAGAACTCTGTATCGAAGTATTGCAGCAAAATGAAGAACATCATTCAGAGGTGAGGCTGTACCTGCATTTGCTGTAGAGAATGGTTTGTTCCTAGATTTTTTCTCCCCTGATGTGAAGCAATTCTGTCAAGAAACATTTTAGCTTTACTTTCTGACATATGTTTAAGGCAGTTCACATTTACAGAGGAATAAGAGACTTGATGCTTACGAAAAGTGAAGTGAAATAAAACTCTACTTGAATTCGCTTGAATGAACTGTAGGTTTAGAAATGAAAATTAAAGAGCATAAAATAGAGAAAGCATCTTTGTGCTGGAGGTGGTGAAATGGTATGGAAAACATTCATAGCCTTACACAGTTGTTCCTTCCAACTTTTCACCCCTCATTCAAAACAGAAAGAAAATATAATTGAATACTAGTTTTCATCATGCTGTATGTATCTTGATTTTAATCTAAAAATAATGATGGGTATAATAATCGCATTCACATTGCTTTTCTGTTGATTGGAAAAGTACTGCTTTTAAACTTGCACTTTTTAAAATGACATTATAAGGTAGAAGAAATAAAATAGAACAATTTCATGTTTCTTACTCTCAAGTCTTTTGCTTCATGATACAGAAACCGTAATATTTAGAATATTTAGAATTATAACACCTTTCATATCAAGGAATTACAAAAATAAACTTGACCAGGTACACACAATTGTATATATTATTAACATTTAATTAATAAATATAGTTTTCTAAGGTTCAGGAAATTGTTTTAAAAATGTTATCAAAAAACTCAATAAATATTTTTGAGGAAAATATGTGAAGGGATAAACATGATTTATATATATAGTTATAAATATGATCATTCAAAACATCTGGTTTTGTATCACACTATGGAATCTAGTTTTTAGCTTACATCTGTCATGTGTGAACTTGTTATAGATGTTTTATCCTATACTGAAGAAACAGCTGTTTCAATGATTTGAAATTAATTCCCTGGAGGTCCTGTTCTACACTACTGTTGCCACTGTGTTACTCTGTAATGATTACTTAATAAAATGTATATAGTGTTGTCTTTGTCTTTTGAGGCCCGGCATTACTGTAAGAATATTAGACTTCTGTGGAAAAGAACACAGAAGAAACATATCAAATGATACATGTATGATTAAACATCTCTGTTCAAAGATTACTTTCCATACTACTTATTGCAGTCAGAGATGTGATATATTTTTCATAAGGGTAAATATATTGCATATGCCCTCAGAAAAGTCAATTCAGCAAAAGTTTCCAATCTAATCCAAGACAGCTTGAAAAGAATAAAGATAATTTTAAAATTATTTTCACCTTCCTTCCTTCATGTAATAAATGTTCCATTTTACTGAAATTTATAGACCATGCAGAATTTCAATATTAAAATATATCTGAGAAAAAGATCACAAAACTATACATTCCCTACTCAAAACTGAAGATTAAGTATGGTGACTCACATCATAATGTTAATTAAATGTTCAGTGTTTGATGGTGCAGTTGATGAAAAGGATCAGTAATCTCTAAAATAGTATATCACATTTTTTAATGCTAGTTTTTTTTTTTTTTTTTTAATTCATAACACTTCCAAATTTCTGGGATTCCCAAAGGGAAGAGAGGTATGTGATTCCTGATGAACTAAACATTATTTTTCACTGTTTATAGCATGGAACTGTGCATTGAATGTGTAGCATAAATTGTCCTGATGATTTCTGGTGTTGTATTGCCACATTTGTTTGTCTTTCTAGAATCTAAGAACTTCAGTCTTCCTTTAATCCGATCAATGTTTTTGTTCTCTTAGAATGTGTGTCACCAATTGCTAATTGCCTTTAGCCTGTTTTCATATTATCCACAATGACTGAACCACTATCTTAGCTGTAGTATTTGTTTTTCTATTCTTCTTCCTTGCTGCCTAAGCAATGATGGGTAGTTCTTGAGAAGGTCAGAAGAATTTCTGTCTGGCTTCAAAGTGTCATTTGCAAAGGGGAAGAAGATGGAAAGAAAATGTGCTGGTTTTCTGTTTTTGGTTTTGCTTTGTTTGTTTTGAGTAATGGACACCTATACATTTCTTTGCTTCTTTCTTTATTTCTTTGCATTTAGTTATTTTCTAGGGTAAGGAGTCTGTTCCTTTAATGAGCTCCCATTTAGACAGGATTTACTAATGAGAAACTTATTCAAGTTTGAGCAATAAGACTCCATTTCAAACTCTTGCCAAAATTTTTGAAGTGTCATCTGTCCTTTTCACTATGGTGCCAATCAGCATCCTTCAATCCTGACACTGCAACATACAAAGTACTTTTCAGTAATAGCAGAGGATGCACAGCATTTCTTTAAAACCTCTCACCAATTCATCTTTTCTCCATTTGCCCCATGTCAAAAAGAATTATAGGCAGTCATCAGAAAGGCCAGGATGCAAAAACATATTTGTAGACCACTTTTCAGAAGTTGTCTTTTATTTGATGCCTTTCAGGCCTCAGTACATAATTCTGCATTACCTAGGACCTGCATTTCAGAAATGCAAGTAAGGATTTCTATGACTTTATTTGAAGTTGTGGGAACTCAGCACTTGTATAGATCAAGCTACATATGTCCCATGCTGGTAACTCAAAAATATTCAAAACGAGATATTCAAAATGAGGGGCGTAAGTTTGAAAGCAAAGACATTTTCTTATCTAGTATGTGTAGGTATTTCTCACTGTCAGATATCTTCATGAACTCTGAGCAAAACACTCTCAGCAGTATGTGATATTCATCCTATTTCATAAGCTCACTTCACCTTCATCTTTAACTCTACGATCATACAGCTCCCTCTGATCCAATATTCAGCTTCAATACTGACCTTTCAAAGCCTAGATTTAAGTGACAGTAAAAAGGTACAAGAGTTATATGTGAAGCATTCTATAATGTGGAGCTGGCTTTACTTGCTGACACACTATTTTTCACAGATTTCTTCTCTTCTTTTAAGCTAAGATTACCTAAGAATCTAAATTTTTACCGAAGAAAACTGTGTATTCCAACATGTTGTTAAGTTACTGAAAATTAATATAGACATTAGTGAATTTCTGAAGATGTATTTATAGCATTTGTCGAAGGAAAACTGGCTGCCTTCCTCAGAAGAAGCTGACATCTTTAAGGCAAAAATAGGAAATAAAAAGCGCTCTCTATCTATTAAAAAAACCCTTAGGCTTCAAGGAATAAGATTTCACACTAAAACCATCCCCTCTGATTAACAAATGAGTGCAAAACGGGTTCACAAGAATTTATTTGAAAAATAAATTAATCTGATTACTTACAGCCTTAGAATTGAATGAAATCAAAAAGAAGCATATACAGTAATTTTTCAAGGCTGAGGCCTTCATTCTTTTCTTTGCTCTCTGGTAAAAAGAGTTGCACGGATTTATACTCCTTTTTTGACTTTTTGTGTTACTTTTTTTTTCTGATTATATCATCTTTCCTAGCATAATCTATTTGATTTCTTACATTTTTGATGCAAGGTTTTATAAAATATTTTCACATTTTTCACTTGGCCTGTTCATCCTCCCCAAATGAGATAGGACATGAAGTGACATATCCAAATGTATTTTGCCATAGTTACAACACATCTCTTTGCTTTATGACTCGTGTTTAGTAATTGTATTTTTGCAGGCATTCGCTTGGTGGCCAGAATTATTGGCTGAGCACGCAGAGAAGTTTTTGTCTCTTTATTCTGTTGATATGGATTCAGCACTCGAGGCACAGCCGCAGGACTCCTGGGACAGCTTCCCTCTTTTTCAGCTGCTGAATAACGCCCTCAGAAATGACAGTAAGATCTTAAATTTTTTACCTGTTGTGTGCATAAGATTTTTCAATATGCCCACACCTTAGACATGTATTTCTAATTAATATAATTCTCAAAATAAAAGTGACAGTGCCCACGTTTATGATACATATCCTGGTGCTCCATTTCTTGGAAGTTGAGCAGTTTCCCTCTATCCTTGCACCATGTCAGTCCTTATTCTGGCGATCCTTTAACCATTCAGTATCACAAATTGCTCAGTTTTAAATCAATGATTTACAAGCAGCATAATATGTATTTAATATTTCATGTTTAATCTATACTGCTTAAATAAAATTGTAGTTAATACTGCTTCTGAGCCTTCATGTAAACTACTTTCAGACTAGTTATGTCTATAAAGGTATTGTAGGCTTAGTGTGAATGGGGTGAGATACACACAACAAATCAGAGTGTTATTTTCACTCGGTGTATTATTGTATCATTATTTGAGTGGAGAACAAAATTTGAGGTAGCTGTGTTATCTTGCTTTTATTCATCTTTGAAGAGCTAATTTTCTTTTTTTTTTTGTAATAGTTAAGTGATCTCCTAGGCCAGTTTTGTATGAAAAGGATTTTAATAATGGAATTAAGGAAATAACAAAAAAAAATTTATTAGATGCTATTTTAAAAACATTGAATTGCACCTTATTTTGTGAACAAGTAATTTCTCCTAACATTTTAAGGCATCATAATGAAAAAAATATATTTGTGCTACATTTTTATGTTTACTCATATTCTATTTTAAAACAATGAGAAAATGACCCACTGGGTTTTTTTATTATTTTGGAGATACGAATGCTATTTTTATTCAATGATTCAAGTTATCCCAAAATTTGATTTTTTTATTATAAATACAAGAAATCATTTTTAACTCTTCCTGGAAAATTCATTTCATTTCTGTGGAAGTTCAATAGCTTATAAGAATTTTAGCTCCATGTATGGAAACTGCTTGACTGAAAGAATGGAAAACAGTATTCAAGAACTTTTCTCCAAGGTTACACATATTCCAACCTATATTATTTGTCATTGTATTATTGTTAACTTTAGCTGCCAAGTGTTTATTGAAATACATATGTTGTCTAAGTATAGTACCTGTTGGCCACAGCACCATATCATGAAATGGAGCAACTAGCAAATGTACGATTCACTGTAACACGATGGATGACAAACTTCATGGAGGGAAAGGGGCAAATGGACAGGGACACTAAACTAAAGCTGAATCTTAAACAGGATTGTTGAAAGTCACTGTTATTGCACCACGTTGGATGTGGTCTAGGACAGAGCGAAAGAACATTAACATCCAGTCTTAGAGGTCTCTTTTCATTAATTATGTTTCCATACCCTGACATTTAGCAATACATGAAATACCATATTCCTGATGATTTCTTTTTTCACATGTTATCCTAGTGAAAGAAAATGTATCTGTTAGTGTTTCCCTTAGTTTGTTTTTAAGATATTCATGAATGTTTCATCTGGATCCCTTGTTGGTCGAACTGCAACTACAGAAACATATTAAAATTGCCATGCTGGTGGTAATTTAAACTCGATTTAGAAGGCTACTGGGAAGGGTGTAGGAATTACTCGATCTTGGGGCCGATCTCATAAGAGTTAGACTCCTGCCAGGTGGGTTCTGCATTACTTGAAGTGGGTGTCTGATTATCTATAATCCAGATTAAAAATCTGAAGCCTGTATTCAGGTGTCTTTCCTACCATCTTACATTTTCAATTTAGGAAGCACTTCTCTAGTTGTGACATCACGTGTACTTAAAACAATTATTTGGTTTCTGAAAACTGTGGAGGTGTTTTACAGTAGTCTCACCAGAAGGATTTGTGGCATCAGTTTTAACTACGTTATTGTGTCATTTGTGTTCCTTTGCACTTTGTTTCCAACCCAAGAGAAGTGATAGAAACAAATAAGGGTTGTCCTCATGTGCAAAGAGGTTGCTGGTAGACTACTGATTTTTCTTTCCTTAAAAGATTAAATGGATAATAATGCTAAATGATTAAAACAGCCTTAGGAAAGACATTTTATGAAAACTTTCATGTCAAAGCAATTATTAGAAAGATTGTAAAACCTTAACTGAGGGATACGAAACGACTGCTGTATGAAATGTCACACCTGTATACCAATTTCAGTAATTCCCTAATGGTAATAGATATAGTAAATGACAGTTTCTGGCAAGTGAAAGCCATCTGGAAAATTATACACTTTTTTTCCCAGAACTATTGGAAAGCAACTGTGGAAATTAGTCACCTTTTAATCGGTGGATATGTTAGCAAGTGGCAAGTGACCATTCTACCAAGAACTGATTCCCAAGTGGAACATACCTCAGGGCTTATTCTTTAATTAACAGCCTTTTCACCTTGCAAGTGCATTAAAGCCATTAGAAAGAGCTCCCCATGCTTATATAATCAATTTTACAGTCTTCCAAAATGAAATAAATAATTCTGGCTTTACCCTAAGTGAAAACCTTTTCCTGAAAACTATCATCACCTTCATAAAGATAGATTTAGAAAAAAAATCTAAAAAGGGAAAAACTGGAATGTGGTCTCATGAGGATAAAAAGGCTAGTGTTAATAATTAACAAGGAGAGTGAAGTGGAGTAAATTAGCCATAATAGAGCCCACAGTGACTGGCAAAGTCACCTCTCATTATCAAAAAACTCATTAGGAAATGAAGAGGTGGAAATCCCACTGGGTTATTCTCACTCTCTGGCTATATCAGAGATTACTTTTCAGATTTCTTTCAAATGAAGAACTGTTAGGTCACCATATTGCATATTAGGTTAATCTTCAGTGAAATTTGGAGGACTGACACCTGCGTGTTATTCTATCTCAAGAGCTTTAAATGAGCTCTAAATCTTCAATGCAGGAGTCAGTTTTCACGTAAACCTGACATGAGCGAACTCCTAACAATAAAGAAACAATCTAACATTTACAGCATTAAAGAAAACTTACATGTGAGACTATTTTTATAACTATGTCACTAAAATATAATATTAGAAAAACTGTGAGATAATGAAAATGCATAGTCTTTGCTATTCAAATAATATCAGATGTGTTATTTGACATAGTATACAAAACATTGTACAAGATTCAAGCTGAATACTTCAAAGCCAATATTCATTTAACAATGAGAAAAAAATGCATTTTCCAATACAGCGTATAACTGTTCATGAAGTAAAAGGGGGGAGGAAGGGAGAGTCCTGACTGAAGCTTCACATTTCTATTATGAAGAACTCCATTTTGAGTCACTTTAAGCTTCTCCATTTTTTCTGACCTTATTCCACAACAATTAAGAGTTCATCAGTGAGTTCATCAGTGATTGCTTTCCTGTCAAGTCTAACTGAAGAACTACTTTAAAAAATGGATAGAGGAGTATGATCTTCCTATCCTATAAAATATTTCAGCTTTTCTGACAAGAGCTAACAAATAACAAAACGTGATTTAAAAAATGTCATTTACTGCTGAGATGAGTAATAGATTGTAGATAAATCTGTTGTGATATTTCAAAATGTAAAGGTTTGAAAAAAATATTGTAGCTGCTTTTATAGTATACATTTTAATTATCTCCAAAGTTTCTGTTGTTCATACACAGTTATGCCTGACTGTGTAAAGCTTTGCAGATTTTACGGAGATAACAGTACCCAATATCTCTCTATGATAGCGAAATTATTTTTTCCAGAATTGGGTATTCGTAGAGGGAAGAAGGACATGGCTGTCCCAGGATTGTGCCTTATTTTCTGTAATAACCACATTATTTTTCATTCACAGAACCTATAAATTATGTTATGAAGGGGCCTGCTCTAGAGGGCAATTTACTTTCTGTAATTGTTTAATTATTCAGATTAATCAGGTTTTTAGTGCCTCAAGACAGACATGTATTAATTCTTCTTCATTTAAGATGGTGTCAGAGATAATCTTTTAGTGGCATGTGCCTAGTTACATGAAGTGTCCATATATTTGGCTTATTTTAGAGGTTTTTCAATTGTATATTCAATATTCTGCTTCTTTCCTTGCCAAGTTTTCTTTCCAAGTGTCACTTGCTGACACTAAGTACTGTGCTATTGCTCAGCATTAATGCATTACTACATTGGCACGAATCAGTCAAAACTAGGAGTATTATAAAGTATTATAAACTCATAATCTTCATTTTCCATCAAGTATTACTCAGTGAAATATCTGTGTACCTGCCCTAGCTCAGCCATGGTACACCTGTAGACAGGCTGATGAAGCTGATTTAGGAAAACCAGCACGTTGAGTGTTAGCCTCTTGAAAGCCATTGACATTATCATGGCTATTGATTTAAAACAGGAATTCTCTGATACGTTTTTTCCACTATTGCTGTTGCAAGTAGCGGAGTAGCAAACACCACCAAAGACAGCATCACCTTCCTGCTTTGTTACAGCCTGTGTAACCCTTTTGTACTAGAATTTATTTATAACATCATAGCCCCCATCTTAAACTACAGGGTGGAGATAGAAAACAATTTGGATTTAAGGTAATCAGGCCAAAGTTTATAGCCACACATAAAGATACCTTTCATCAAACCTTACACTTCTTATTAATTGTAGTGGGAAACTTTTCTTAGCTCAGGGACTTAATATTTTTGCTGCTTTGAAATAATAACCTGCCTTCAGGTTAGAGCTACATGTTTTGGTTACTAATACTGAGAGCTAAATCAAACCTTACACTTCTTATTAATTGTAGTGGGAAACTTTTCTTAGCTCAGGGACTTAATATTTTTGCTGCTTTGAAATAATAACCTGACTTCAGGTTAGAGCTACATGTTTTGGTTAGTGATACTGAGAGCTAACTCAAGCTGCATAATTGCTTACCAGAATATCCAATAACCTTTTTGACTGAATGGGCATTTTAGGCAGAAGAAAATTGCGCAATAAGCTGTTTGTGTCACTCTATCTTGTAAAGATTAAGCTCTTTGCAGTTTCATTGCCAAAGTTCTGACGGGGAGGGAAATTTTTACTTCTTAAATAAATTTTCAGCTTGCTTCCATATAGTGCATTTCTAAAATTCACTTTTAAAGTATGTCTTGTATGTAAAAATACACAACCATTTGTATATAAGCTGAGATGCTTGCAATTTTCACCACAATTTAAGTAACTGATTAATAAATGCTCTGTGGAGGCAGAATGTAATATAAACAGGAAATGAATGGAAATAAAAGCTTTCTTTTTTCAGGTTATTGGATGATTTTCAACTGCTGCGAATAGAATATGGAGGCCCAAAGAAATTTCCTTCTTGAAATTTACTGGTTTTATTTTGGATCTAAAAATATGCCAGGAAATCCAAGTGGTGCCTTCCAGAAGATCCCATGGAGAGCAGGATACTTATAGTCTACCAAAGTGCTAATTTTGTCAGTGGAAAAGAGAATCGTGTTAACCTGTGTCATTCTTCCTTTCCTTTATCATAGAGTCATAGAATCATTTACATTGGAAAAGACCTTTCATCAAGTCCAACTGTTAACCTAACACTGCCAAGTCCACCACTAAAACATGTCCCTAAGCACCACACCTACACGTCTTTGAAATACCTCCGGGGATGGTGACTCAACCACTTCCCTGGGCAGCCGGTGTGAATGCTTGACAATGCTTTGAATCTGCAGAAGCTCTTGAGGACAGCTTAACACGCTGACTCCAGGATAACTCCTAAACTTTGCCTGTATAAGCAAAGCAAGCCCCACAGCTTCTGATCTACACAAGCACAGCAGATTCTCTTCTTGCTATTAGAGGAGAAACCTCATTCCGGTGCTGCATTATTAGACTGTAATTTTCATCTCTGGTATTTTCTTGTCATATTTTAATATATTTCAGGTACCTAATATGTAAAAATTGAATAACTTTCATCTTCAACTTCAGTATTTCAATAATTTTTCGTTTGGGGATCTGTTTCTGTTTGGGCAATCCATTTTCCATTAATATTGTATATGCATTAGTTTGCCCTGGCATAGGCTTTCATTTTTTTGTTGTTTGTGTGAATATGAGATGGCTCATATGAAGAGGATGTGGGGTGTCTATATTGACAAGACAATGGAGAATTAAGCTACATAGCTTTGAAGACAAGTGGTAGTTGAGGGATTTGAAGTGTGGCATTTCCTCAAGGATCTCTTGTTTCCCATCTGCTTTGATGCCCAGGTGGTACCTTTTGGCAAGATCAACTCTAATCATAGGGTAGAGTGCCATGAGTCTGCTGATGATACTCAGCTATATCACTTACCCCTGCGCTCTGAGTTCTTTCTCTGCCCTGCAGTAATCCTTGATGGAGATCTCCAGATAGATAAATCAGAGCTGCCATGTCCTCAGCCCTGAGAAAACAGAATGCTCACCGAGTTGTTGATCCGAGACAGCGCTCTCATGTGTGTGCCCACATACAGAGAGATCTCTGTGGAGGTGCAGTCAGATTAAGAGTCTTGGCATCATTTTGGAAAGCTTCACTTCCCTGCAAAGATTGCTGTCAGGATGTTAGGAAAATGATTCAGCTTTTTAAGTTGAAGGCTTTTATTGCCTGTGACTTCTTTAAATTTCATTCTGACTTCGGAATAACAAGAGTCGCCTTCCTGCCCATGAGGCTTTATTACTGTAATTCCCAGAGTAGGACTTGTAGCAGAGCATTTCTGCGGTGTGCTCAGAAAACAGTAAACTACAAGCTCATCCCTGCAAGTAACTGTGATTGCCTGATTAATGCCAGTCCTGCACTGATTCACTATAAAGCAGCAAAATTGACTTAATTGACACAGTTGTATTCTTGTTGTTGTATTTAAGCTCAAAGTTGCCTTGAAAAATCAGCCTAATACGTAGCTTGATACCAGCCACCTTTTGTTTCTCAAAGGCAATGTTCATCAGCTGTTTACTGTGAAACACACGGTGTGTGGGCAAGCTTCCACACCTTTGTGTTAATATCCAAATCCTTCTCAGTTGTTTATTATTGCTGATCACAGATGCTGCAGTTTTAAGATATATAAATATAAGGAAAAATAACACTGGTTTGAGTGCCTGATATATGAATAATTATGCCAGAACTAGCTAGTTAACAAGTAGTTCTATGAGCAGTGTAAATAATGGAGCATGTTTGTAATGGACTCACAGGTGCTCTCAAGGGTGGATTCTCAAGTGTTTAATAAGAGATGAGCCTATGCCGCTGCCTTTTTCTCAGTGGAAACCCTAATAATCTCTGCCTGCTACCTACCTGCCTGTTTTCTTGAAACTTCATATATCTGATATCTCCACCCCTGCGTGTAATATGGTTGAAATAAGCTAAAAGTTTCAAAATTCTTAGCAAAAGAGAGGCAGGTGAACAAAACCAGAGCGAGCTGATCGCATTAGTATTGTCTCCTTAGGTAAAAGTGATTGATACATAATTTCCCATTACTCTACAAGGATGTTTTCAATAAAATAGTTCTTGCTTTCAGATCATTGTATTCAAGGAAAAAAAAATAATACTAGTGTCCAGACATTCAGCAACAAAGGCACTTCCCTGCAATACAAGTAGCAATAGGGAACTGAAACTTGATGACACATTTTCCCCGTAGTTGCCATCTCTCCTAGGTTCAGTTTGTGGTGGACATCATTCAGGAATGGAAGGCAAAGGAGTTTCTGGAAGTTACAGAAATTATTTTCATATGTTATACATGGAGTTGTACCAGTAGTGGAACAGAGGGATTGTAATTTTATGAGATGGTTTCCAGGGTTTTGAGCCCCATGATCCAGCCTTTTCTTCTTAGAAGAGGAAGAAGCCTCCTCAAAATGCGGTTGTGGTACCCATCCAAATCAAGTAAGAAGCCTGGATGCAGGAATAAGTGGGAGGAGAAACCCATAAGAGAATTTAAAACAACAGAATATGGGTGGGAGAAAAGGAGGACAACCAAAATCATGAAAATTTCTCTCTATGGCTCAGCTTGCCTGTGTGATTTCCATGTACACATGGGAATATTCTTACAGGTCCTAATAATAATGCTGGATTAATGGGTGAACACAGACGCATTCAAAACACAAAACTGATACACTCCCTTGGTGGGACAGGACATTAGTGTGCTAAGAGTTAGGATTTGCTAAGAGAACATTTCAGGGAGTACAGGGACAAGCAGTGGTGGTGGCAAACTAATTTTCAAGTTTTAAGTATCTTCAGTTTGCATTGTGTATACAGTTATTCATGCAGTAAATCCCATCTGTGAAGCAGATAATTTTCTACTGCTTATAGCTACTTTACTTTTCTGGAGTAATATGCTTCATGCTTATAGTATGCTCACCAGTCAACTCCATTTCTTATGAAAAGCAAGAGAACACTTCTAGGTGTGTTACATGTTGTCAGCTTTCCTAAGTGCTTTAGGCAACTAGATTTCAGGACTTCCTTTAAATAGTTATAAAACTACAATTGCTGTAAAGTTGGAGATAATCACACCAGAGAATTAGCAAACTTCCAGAAGGGAAATGTAGAGTTAGCGTCCTTTAAAATTTTGCAAGACCGTTGAGAGGGCAGAGGAGAGGCAAGTGTGGCTGCTGGGGCTGAGTTTCATGTGAGCACAGACTGGCTGGGAGGTACGTTTTTTTGTGGGGGTCTTGATGAAGTTTGTCGGGATGGGAAAAGCTAGAATTCTGGTGGTGAGCTCTGGCCTTCGAGAGTTTTATGTATGGACATGCATAGGCATACCAAGACATGTTTTCTGTTCAAGAGCTCATTGAATGTCCTGTGTAGCTATAGGCAGTGATTCAGGACTTTGACAGCTCCCAAGGACACAGAGCAGATGGGTAAACTGTTCTTATTTCCCCAAACACTAATATGTCATATACTGCCTTTTTCCATTAAGCAATCTGGAGGAAATGCTTGTATACCTCTAGATTTTTGCCCATAGCCTAGTGAGGCTGGAATGTTTTACTGTAACTTTTGTTCTTCTTAGCATAAGGAGAATAAAAATAATTGAATGCATTCAAATACTGTTTGTTTGGGTTTGGTTTTTTGTTCTGTCTTGGTGTCTAAGTATTTAACAAAATTGCTAAGGCTTAGATTCAGCAAAGTATGTTACTAATTTTAAGAAGATGCAAAAGTGTTCTGGTTCCACAAAGAACTTCAGTATGTGCCTATTTTTCGTAACAGTGACAGTTTAAAGTGTACTGCAGTGTCCTCATGGAGCACTTCATTTATCTTTTATGAACTGTATTTCCTACACAAGCTGGATCTTGTTCTTAAAATGCTTTTGTGTACTAAAACATTTTAAGA